TTACAAATTCCTTTTCATGTCTTCCACTGGGTGGTCCAAAACATTCTTGTCCACCCAGTTTTTTTCTTAATATAATTTTATACTATATCATGAACAATCTCTATTATAGACATTGCAAGTTTCATGCAGAACAAGTGGTGCACAGGCATTTTATACTACGAAGTTTGCTTGAAATTCTTTCATCTCTTAATGTGTGTCGTTTTTAGTATAGTGTTCTCAAACATTTCATTTTATCACTTCTCCTTTTCCGTGATTTAGGTAATTTTCTGGTCGCTTTGTAATTTTTTTAGTAATTTATTCATTTTGCATGGTCTCAACTTCTAAGGAAATGCAAATATATGTGGCCTAAACGGGAGACGTAGACGGTAGACAAACATTTTAAGGTACGAGCGTCTAATCAGCTGCTATTGCGGATGTATCTTAAAAATATCGGGGCTTCTGTCTGTCGGAGATATCTCTACTGTGGCCTTCCGAAACGTTCCATCTGCTTATCCAGTGCGCGAAAATAAATCGGATTTATATGATTGCCGAATGCCATTAATTATTTCTGGCCTTTATTACTCTTCCTTCTTCCCTTAACTGTGATATGTTTTACCTTAAAGACGAAGTCAGAACCTTTCCGGATGTTCTGCTCTGCGTGGCAGGCTGAAGCATTCGGGAATGACCCGAGTGATAGCTCCTTGTCAACAGAAACCATCCGACAGCAAGTCTGTTAATGCTTCCTACTTCCGACGCTTGTTTATCGGCGCTAAAAGTGGTTCGACCCGCATCTTGTGCTGGATGCACTAGGTACCACAGAAGCAAGTCGTGTTTAGAGGATTCGTTTGGTCCGCTTGATTCTGGGGATAGACTTCCATTTCTTACTGAATTTTTCATCTCATCATGTATTTCTGATTTTTATATTTTTGAGTTAAGTATTGTTGTGCGTCTTAATTTTTAATGGTTTAAAAAAAAATAATTGCAATTTTCTTGTTGATTTGCTTTGTCCATCAGAGGTTTTACCTTGCACACATTTTGGTATTTCTTTTATGT